TCCTCGAGAGCCTGACGAAGCTGATCTTCGGTATATTGAGGCATTATATATAGAAGAAGACATGTGCAAAAGATGAGCCCATTTGGACGCGAATTGAAAATGTTGTGATAAAAGGAGGTTGGGGGTGGGCATTGGGTTGTGGTGGATTTTCGCGTTTTTGTGGGTGCCAGAAACAGGGGGGTGCCAGGAAGTGGGTATGTTGACTTACTACCCCTGTTCGAGAAACGGTCCATTATTACCCTGTTGCACATCGCAGCGCGTATTTTCCACCTCCCCGGGACCAAGATGGGAAAAGCAGCGTGGCGAGGCTATTGTATTTCTTCGGCATACATCCTATTTCGTCTATGGGTTTCTCGCCTAGAAATCACTTTGCCGATCTTGCGAGCACAACCCTGATATTGATACGACCTGTCAATCAAGAAGAGAGGGGCAATTGGGGGGCTAGGGAAACAGCGGTGAACGATCGAGGGCCACGCGAGGGGCGCCGAGGAAGTGGATAGTTTCATTCGACTGTTGCAGGGTTATGCACGGCTTTCAACCCGGACTGAATGTCGGCCTCGATCGGAGGTCGGTGGAGCAAGCAGACAGTGGAGATGGTAGAACGTGGCTAGACCCGCTCCTTGATACGCCGAGACTCGTAGTCTCATCCACATACATGATATTCAGGGTCTTCCAGAAGGAAACTTGAGACGACGTTTTGTATATGAATAACTCAAACTTTGAGCACGGTTGGCTCGGTCCGGGGATTGCTCCCAAGACAGCAATCCCAACCGTCCAGCGAACTTTGAGCTCTAGCATTTATGCCTGACTACTGTCGAGCTCTGTGAGGGATGGGACACCGGACGAAGATGTTGATTGTGCCTGACTCCCTTTAGAAATTGAGTTTTGCTTTGTGATTAGTGACACGCCCCGTATTGTGTGGGAGCCGGGGTAGACACCGCGGGGAAGATAACTTAGGGGACTCATGTTTGGCAACCCGGACCTCGGTCTATCATGATAGCCGCTGTCATGGCGCCATCCCGTGATGTGGGATATTCGTGTTTTGAGCCTGGTCCGGACCACTGGGTCCCAGTGGACAAAACGACTCGACAAGTGGTACGAGAATAATGCGAATCTGGGATTCTTCATCCTGAAATGACCGCGCGAAGGAAACTTTATTTAGAGTTCAACGCTAGGAATAAAGTTCATCACCTTCTATCTCAAGACATTCAGCGGAGACGCAGCTTAGACCAGAGTTACATCAATGGACAAGGCACCCTGCATTCCTCGGACTCCGCCTCACGACATGCAGATGGTGTCTATCGAGCTTTCAGATGGTTCAAATTGGAGATATTCTGCTCCAGAATGTGGTGATATCGTTCGTCTAGTCCCAACTTACCGAAAACTTTCTGAGTTAAGACGCAGAACTCGACTCTCTCGACATGTTTGCGACGCTTCGAACCGAAGACCGAGATGGAGAGGTCGTATGCATTTCAAGTACACATCAACTACCGCAACCGGGTCAGAACACAAACCATTTTGCTTGTGACGGCTGCCGAGCAAAGAAGGTATAATCGATTGATTGACTGAACCTCATGAGAAACCGCGCTGACCTGCTCACTCAGTTGAAATGTACTGGACACAGATTTGGCTGTCAACGATGCCGAGACCGAAATCTAGCTTGCACATATTCGAATACTCTACCACAAAGGCGTCGCAAAGGTGGAAGGCCCCCAGCGCCGCACAAAAGCGCAACGCCTCGCGAGATCACGCCGTCTACGTCAGAAGAACCGCCGATGATGGCCCCTTCTGATTCACCCAAAGAGCGATTACAATCGGCGTATCCGGAGCAGTTGTCTGAACCCAAATGTGTGTCAAAGGGTGCTGCATCGGATCAAATCTTGTCACCGGAGCGAGCCGAGATTGACATGGACTCCCAGTCAACCAATTTGCTCATCCAAACTCCGACATTCGTTGGCTCGGGCCAATCACCAAGCGCCCTGCTGGAGGAGGAGTCGTCTGGCACACCGCCTGACTTTGAGGATCTGGCCCTTCCAGATTACATGGAGTCAGACTTACATGAGTTTGACATGGACGACTTACAATTACTCGATGCCGAGATAAACCTGTCTGAACAGGAAGCTGAAGGCCATGACTTAAGCAAAGCATTTGCATCCAGTACAACCCCATTCAACGTCCAAATCACACGGGAAACTAGCTTTGCTAGGAGCAGTTCGTCGTCAGGTGAGTTAAAGCTCTCCAGCTTTCAGCTACGCAACACTGCTCCTGAAAGCTTCAGCCATTGTCTAAGTCAAATGATTGATGCTAAGCGGATGTAGATGATTCTCAATGGAATGCTATTCAGCGGCCCAAGAGCAATCACATAAGGGATGACACCTCTCATGATATCTCTCATGATATCTCTCATGATTTCGTTGCCCCTAAACGGGCGCCGTCTAGTCTCTCATCGCACGGTATCAGCTCCACGGTGCCTTTCACCCCTCACCACCACCCAAACAGCTTTTCTTTAAATGCTCCAAGTCAGTTGCTTGTTAACCGCAGCCATGGCAGCCCAATCACTGGGCCGGGGTCACAGACGAGCGTCGCAGCCACAGCGCCTTGCCGCTGTGTTGGCGTAACGCTGAATTTGCTTGAAAAAATGCAGACGCAGAGCAAAGTAACAACCTTTTGTGTGGCGGAAACCTCCCTACATCTGCTTAAAAAGTCGATATCCCAATGCCGATCTATAAGTCATTGCTCTTCGTGCCGGAATCGTTCTAGGGTAATGACATTCTCAATATTGCTAGCCGAGAAGATTATGGCTATATTAGAGGATATTGCATCTGTGTGGGAATGTGCTTCTCAAGCCTCAAATCTCGGAGATGACGGCAGGATTGAGGCATACGGACATGCACACCGTTGGATTCCTGTATTGCTGGGACAGTATCAGATTGATACTGTCCATGAACGTTGCGAGATTTTTGGTTTCTTGATTCTGCTGCAAGTACGGCAGCTTGGAGGCTTCTTGGAATCTTTGCGCAATTCAGTTGACAGACAGAGGTGGGCGCCACACGAGAATTCGCTACGGCCCATCTGTCTCCGTCTCGAGGAGCTACAAGAAGCTTTGAGCGGGCATACATGAGACGTATCTACTTTCTATCTTGAGCAGCTTCTTCTACCTAGATCTTCGAACAAGAAAGTGGAATCTTGAAATACACATCATGAGATGAATCGAATATTCTGAATCGAAAGCTAAACGAGTGCAAATTACACTTATGTGAACCAATCAACCTCTGCCCGCCTTGGGATTACGGACACCACTTTCTTTGGTTACCTCAGGGTTACGGACATATTTCGCCAAGCTTTTACAGAATCTCCCTTCTCCTGGCCTCGGTCTCAGCCGCTACCCGATGATCTATCCGAAGATGATCGGACCGTTTCTTCTTATAGAGACCTCTTCCCCGTAGATTAGCCGATAATCCTGGCAACAGCCGAGAGAGCGAGTCATTCGACTTGAAGATCTGATTGGACTCCAAAACAATTGTGGATGTATTGGCTTCAAGACGGGTTCAAGGTTTCCGAGCCCGAAACCTTATTTCTGACTTCCCCGGTCCCAAATGCATTCGCAAAAGCTTAAACATACGAGCGTTACGCTTGATGAGCCACAACCGCCGGAGCACTGTAACAGGTCTAGCGTTCCATCAATGAGAAACACACCCTGAAATTGAATAGCTGTGTCAGCCTCAAGTTTGCTAAAATGGAACGTCGCCGAGAGGCCTAGATCTTGGCTATTCGCCAGAGTATCAGTACGCCCACGAGTCAACATTAATATGTATTGCGCACACGCTATAGAAGTTGCCCAGACGCCCGCTCTTCCTCCATCTTATGCACAGGCCGTAGTCACTTCACACCTTATGACTAGGGCTGTTTCCAAGCGCTGCTGGGGTTCATGAGTGCGGCTTCCCCGGCTCAACTACCCTACAGCGCATCCACTTCAGTTACAACACATTCTGGGGTCAGCTACGCCGGAGCAACGGCTTATGCATGTCGCTTAAAGTAAAAGTTGGCTATGAGGCAGAAATTCTCCAGGGAACAGCCACGATAACTAAGAAGACATGGTTTGGTACACGTGGTCAAAAGGTTCCTCGCCATATCTGTCGCAGTACTGCGTACAGGAAGATAAATCGGACACACCCAACACGGAAAGGTTCCGATGGAGATTGTTCTGCCCCGTTGAAAATTTGGAATCCAGCCGTGACACAATGACTGCTGCCACTGTCTGATGTGGCGTGCATGCGACAGACTTGTTGTCGCAACGACTCGAGCACGGAGCTCCCTTACGCTGTCAAAAAACTCAGACCACTGGTCAGTGGGTGGACATCTAGATTCCAGGAAGTCACTCGAAGGCTAGTATATGATGAGAAATTGCTTGAGAACTTGGAGCTTGTTGTATCAGAAATATATCGGCTTTAGGTTGAGCCCTCCTTGAGTGAACTTGTAGTGGGCGACAGACTGGAAAAAAAGGAAAACGCGTTGAGAAGATTAGTCGGTTCCATCCAGTGCACATCCAAGCGGTTCATTGCCACGCTGGAACTATTCAAGTATTCGCTCTAGAGTCTCTTCTTGAACTCCACAGTCGCCCATGGGTCCGGTAGATATTGTGTTTCCGCTCGTACACTTTGCGGGCGTCCCTGTCCATGTGTAAATCGCATCTCGTAATTTTTCAACAGATGGGCCATTATGGCTTTGATCTCATGAGCCGCAAAGAAGCGTCCTGGACAAGCATGGCGCCCGTAGCCAAAACTCAAAGATGTCGGATTCGACGCGACATACTGGGCGCGACCGTCCATATCCGAGCGCTCTTCTCTCATCCTGGCGAAACGAAACGCATCAAAAGTTTCAGGGTCCGGATAAAGAGATTCATCCATTGTGATAGCTTGTGTTGGAATCCCAATGGTGGTATGAGCTGGAATTGTAAACCCGGAGGATAGTGTAAAAGGCCGGTGAACCACTCTCTCGAATGTGACTGCACACGTTGATGTATTAGGTGACAGCTGTGAAAGGCCAAAACTCGTCAGGGTGAACGTACTTAGAAGGAGAGGATTAAACCTTTGGCTCTCTTTCATGAAACTATCCATCTTCGCCATTTTCAAGAAGCCCGATTTTGTTATCAAATCATCGTTGCCAGTAAGGCTCTCGAATTCGTCCCGCAATGTTCCAATGATTTCAGGACGTTCGCATAGGTCGTAAATGAGCTGTGCAGGTGCAGCTGCACTTGTGTGTATCGCAGCAAAGCTTACCTTCAAGAGAATACTGGCCAGGAATGCCATGTCACGCTCTTCGCCTTTCGCCTGCTCGGCCATCCAATATAGAAGATCTTCAGCTTTATCTCCAGTGCGAAGGCGACTTTCGAGCAGTGGAATAGCTGCAGCTTCTGCAGCGGCGTAATGGCCGGCGATCTTGGTAATCTCCGGAATGAAACGAGCTGCAAATGGCTTCAGGACCTCGGGATATCTTTTCAGCTTCTGAGCGCCAATGAAGCCGTCAATGGCGAAGTCGATAGATGATTGTACCCATTCTCGATTGTGAGATAGAGTGGTGCCACCGAACATACAACTCGAGACTCTTGCCACAATCTGCGTCAATGTGTGGACGACAGGGACGGGCGTCCAATCTGTTCAGGTTAGCCGAGCAAAATCATTCGTCAAGGCCATGATTGCAAACCTTCACAAGCAGGAAATGTGTCATTGAATGCGTCAACTATTTCCTTCTGCACTGCCGGCATTACATCGGCTACAAACGTGTTAGAAAAAACCATATCAACTCTAATGACTTGTGTAGAACCGCCTACCGAGATGATGATTCAATTGCGCCTTAACAACGCGAGGATGCAGGGTCGACCTACTCCCCATGGTGGTGTACTTACCCTCGAACATCTTTCCGGCATTAGTGAATGAATCAACTTGGTGGAAGGATGATTACCTCGATAAACGTAGCAACAAAGTCTACCTGGTCGATTGGGGCCGTCTTGAGCTCCTCTAAGTATTTCGAGGGAATCATCAGACGTTCTCCTAGTGGACTGGGGACGTAGAAGAAGTCGCCTTTCGCCTAAACACTGTGAGAATGACTCGGTAAAACTGTTCTTTAGGAGGTAACATACGCGCTTGTACCCTTCTTGAAGCATCTCCTTTGCATTTTGGCGAAACCGCTCTCGATTTGCCTTGATGCTGTGTTTAGCATTCCCACCAACAACTAGAACACCAGGAACGAGTTTTTGTTTGTCTGGAAAGAGTGCGCATAGCAAAACGATTAATCCTACGGTGAGGCCCAAAAAGGTCATTGCCAAGCCGTGGTTTCCATTGGTATAGTCGCGAGCATAATGCCAGAGTAGAAGACTATCGAAATCAAAGAACGATTTCATCGTGATGTGTTAACGGCTTCATGAAAATCCAGATCAAATCACGCGCATGGAGAACCGTAGCTGCTTGGGAATATCGGCTCATACGTCGCGGATACCGCCTGGCATAAAGCTCGGAGCCTGCGAGGTTTGAATCGTTGGGCTCGGGCTTTTCCCAAAGTATGCGAGTTCCGAGGTGTCGGCCGCCGCAACTCCCAACAGGGAAGGCAGCCGAAGCCCGAATGAGAGTGACTGAGATCTCAACAACACCATTAGCTAATACCGGGATAATTCTAGGCTTAAAGTATGGATATTTAATACTTGCGGCTCTAGTTGCCTGACATTCCTCCAAAACATCAATTTCTAAACCACCTTTTCACCATGGGAGAACCAATCCATGATATTCCGTTGGCGAGCTCAGCCCCAGTCTCTCTTAGCGTTTTACCTGAGGGGCACGATGCTTTCCAGCCCTACAAAGTCGAAAAGTTTGACGACGGTCTTCGATATGATACTCTCCAAGTTCACGGAGGACACCGACCGGACATAGAGACACATGCCCGAGCAGTCCCAATCTACAACAGCGTGGTGAGCTTCTATATCCGATTGTTTCCGATGATGGGCCATGGTCAACTAACTCAAATACTATCTCAGTCATTCATATTCACAGATAGTGAGCATGCCAAGAGGGTGTGTGCCACTCAAGAAGCAGGTTACTTCTACAGCAGAGTATCTAATGTAAGTCTTTCATGCCTGCTATCTTGGATGTTGTCTCAATTTTACTGAAACTTATTCGCAGCCAACGGTTGCAGTTTTCGAAAAACGGGCCGCCGCTTTGGAAGGAGGCACTGCTGCTGTAGCCACAGCCTCAGGACAGGCAGCTATTTTCAACACCATCATCGGCCTAGCAGGAGCCGGTGATAATGTTGTGGCCTCAATCAACTTATATGGAGGCACCTACAGCCTTTTCAAGACACTGCTTCCGCGACTTGGTATCACTGTGAAGTGGGCCAAACAAGAGACCAGAGAAGAGTTTGCCAGACACATTGATGAAAATACCAAGCTCCTCTTCGTCGAAAGTATTGGAAATCCTCGCTGCAGCATTCCCGATCTTCAGGGATTGGCAGATGTGGCACATGAAAACCACGTTCCATTTGTGGTAAGTAGCAAGAAATTTAGAACGAATGGCCAATCCCAAAATCTGACACAGTGAAAGGTCGACAACACATTCGGAGCCTGTGGCACATGGTGTCGCCCTATTGAATTTGGCGCCGACATCATCTTGCATTCCGCCACGAAATGGATGGGTGGTCATGGTACCACCGTCGGCGGAGTCATCATTGACTGTGGCACTTTCGACTGGGGAGCAGCGGGTCACCGGTTTCCTCGAATGATCATGAAAGATGGTCCAATGAGCTTCTCATACTGGAAAGCCTTCGGCAATATCTCGTTTGCGATGGCGATGAGGATTGATATCTTGATGGAGGTTGGGTCAATACTGAGTCCAGCCTCAGCACAGCAGCTGCTCATCGGGATGGAGACACTGAGTCTACGCTGTGAGAGACACACCAAAAACACCATGGCTGTGGCTCAGTTCTTGGAATCACATCCAAGAATTGCGTGGGTTAACTACCCCGGTAAGTTAGCACGTTAAATTTGTCGACACAAACTCATCATTTGCATGTCCTAACAAATCGGCTAGGCCTGGAAAAGAATCAGTATCACGGCAACGCCAAAAAGTACCTCAGAAATGGTTACGGAGGCGTCCTTTCATTTGGCCCCAAGGGAGGAGACGTCGCTAGCAAGATGCTTATGAATTTTGTCAAGGTTATATCCCATCAAACAAAGTGAGTAAAGATCGGCGTCTTTAAGGAACAGAAGATTTACTAAATTGTACGCATCAGTGTTGGAGACTCAAAGACTCTGGCCACCCACCCTTGGAACTCCACTCATGTCATCATGTCTGAGAAGGATAGAAGAGAGGCTGGAATCACCCCGGTGAGTATTACGCATTAAATCAACCGTTTGTATTGCATTGACTGATCTGATCTCGCGCAGGCATTCATTCGATTCTCAGTTGGAACAGAGGATGTTCGAGATATTATCGAGGATCTTGACCAAGCCTTGGCACGGCTGCCGGATGACATTGTCCACGTCCATGATGAGCGATTGGAAGCTAAGCTGGCGGCTGCTAATAATGGTTCAACTTCCGCTGCATCCATGGACAGCGCCGATTTTATGGACGCAGATGTTTCCTTGTCCAAAGCCAACGTCCCGCTTGGACGTCAGACGGCAGTTGGAAACTGGTGAAAGAAAGTCATATTAGATAGGAAGGCATAAGGAGTTACCCGGCCTTACAAATTATACATATTTAGCCTGGAACTAGCATTATTAAGTTCATTTAGAGCCTTGTTCTTACTCTATCTCAGTGGCTCGTATGACAAAGGACCTGTTACTTCTCCATTGTAGGTTCATCTAAACTTGGCCAAAAGTAGGGTCTATGCTATTGAAAAGGGAACATCGATATCGAAAAGAAAATACATGGCGTCTCTCAGTATGTCATATGCCTTATACCATTGTAATCTCACGGATGAAAATAGAAGCTGGCATGCACAACATCATATAAAGTTCGAATGTAGACTACAGCCTACAAAGTTTTAGGTGAGGGAGGTGAAGTACGTAGATACTATAACAAATTAATCTGGAGTACCGAAACTGAAGTAGGACCCGACGTTGAATTGTAAAGAAAAACTTGATCGAACTCTTTTCTATTTTGAATTCGTGTTCAATATTGATCTAAACCGAATGGTATCTCGGTGTAATGCTGCTCCATGCCTCATTCCCACTCATTTGATACTCCAAGCCTTTTATAAACGCCTGCAAGTCTGAACCACAGCCCCCAGCACTAGAAATTCTACTAGTGGCCAGCTTACTATGCAGAAGCTCCCATTCGCGACACATTATCCACAAGATGCGCTTCGACGCCGAATAGTCCAGGCTAGTCTCCGAAGCCAAGACTGACACGGATGAACATAAGGCGGACCCTTCTTTATGGCCTATCTGGGAAGCCTTCAACTCCTTTTCCCAGCTATAGATATCGTTGACAACAGAGATATGTTTTGAACAGTTAAGCTCAATATCTTCGACCGAACTCAGGTCTTCAGGGCTGAGATGCAGGCTCATGCTAAACCTCATGAGAGCAGATAGCAATCTAGACAATTGTGAATTCTTGAACAAAAGGGGAATAAAAGATATTCGAGTAGACTTACGCTTTACCAACGTCCTTTTCTCGATACTTCAAATAGTGCCCCAACTCCTTGATTTGTAGTCGCGTCTTGTCAGTTTGAGCGCGCATGAACGTAAATACTGGTTCAAGGATCTCATTGGCAAGGACTTCATCGCAAGTCCTCATATCATTCCACAGGTCATAAGTTATCCATTCGACTGGGACACTGCGATCTGGCAACGACTCTCCCTTGGAGAGTAGTATGAGTCTCTCGTTGTAAGAAGAGCCTGCTTCAAAAGACATGTCTTCCAGGAGGTCTATCATAGCACAGAGTTAGCAGATTTGGCCATGGAAGCATTTCAAGACATTCAATTGGTCTGTTGCTCAAGCTTGTGGAAGAACGTCACTCACCATCAATTAAGAACAAAAGCGTTAGAAGATAACAGGCGAAAGAAATCCTGTCGTTCAACGCGGTAGGATAGTAGAAGCAGGTGACTTGTGGGAAACCCGCAGCCACGAACTTCTTTCTGGATTTCGCATCTGCAAATGGCCAGTGATTGAGGAAAAACCCGTTCACTTCCGCCGAAACCTCTCGCTCTCGAGGGTGTATCTTGGCGGTAAAATGCGCCGCAGGTGGCGGCTCGCTAGGATTGTAAGACCTCTGACCAGATTTGGCTGGCTGGTCAAAAATTTTCAGCGACGTTGACGGAGCAGGTAGAATAAAAGACGCCAACGCATGCAGGGAAATCATTTTGACGCCGGTGGAAGGATCGCCAGTGGATGATGGATCTCGAACGAACTGAGAGGGGAGAATTGGTGACCGAAGACAAGTTAAATGCTACGTCTGAACCCTTTCCAGCGCGGTTGTCGTAGGTGCCGTACTTGAGACGAAAGTACTTGCCATTGATCTATGATCTTGTTCCCTTGATTGGGCGTGTGGGTCATACACATTGACCACCAAAGGATAGATTGGGAAACTTTGCGAGGAGACCGCGACTCGGGCTCCATTCAAATCGGGCAATACAGCGAGGCCGGCAGTCGACAGAGAACCATTAACTCCACTATCCCGGGATGGAAGGGAATACTGCGCTCGGATTAAAGTTGTCTCAAGTCGTGCAAGTATGATGTTGATATCCAGTCAATTGTAAAAAATGAATTGGCCAATCAAGCAAGCAAAAGCACTATGAACAGTGACGAAGATGATGTCTCACGCGATGTTGGGTATCATGTTGCTGAGGCGGTTGGTTAGAGCCAAGGCACCATGATTCTTGCTGGACGCAGAAGTAGGAATGATTTTACGCATCATTACCTGTTCGTGGCTGACATCACGTCTAATGTCATGTTCACGGCAAAGGAACAATAGATTCATAGTTGCAATCAACTCACAGTAAATGTGAGATATGATGAATGACGGTTGATCTCTCCACAGTTTGTTGGCCTTGAGTTAGCCGAGTCCCCAATATGTCTTCAAATGTGGAATTTGAGAGCGTTTGGGGCCCCCAACTTGGAGATTTGAGAATTTCAGAAGCATGACTCAGAGCATCACATTGCTACTTTTCCAGGCCTGCCGCCAGAAACATGGAAGATTGACGAGTTGGGGAACTCGATCTAGACATACGTGCCCGGATAGGACTTTGGAGTATAGTTTTCTTTACAGACAATTTCTGAAATCTGTTGCAGCTTGCTGCAGCCTAGTCTCTTGCAAGTTTGCCGCACCAATCCATGTATTACGACAATCTGCCAAAGGTTCCTCCAACTCGGTGTACCTCTCACCCAACGTAAGAATGACTCTGCCATTCCAACGGCCACTCGTTTCTCTCCACTCGGCAGTATCCGATCCATATCCTTGAACCTTCTTGGCTTCCATGGCAACAGCGGAATACACCACTGCAAGCCCCACGAAATGTGCAGAGCTCACTGGCAAGCCAGCAGCCATTATCGGAGCAGCAAGCTTCGCCGGCAATAGTCCGGTGATAGTTGCGGCTGGCGCGACAGCATTGATCGTAATACCAGTGTCTCGCAAATTCGAGCGCATCGCACGCAGGTAATTGATCAGCTTATTCAATTAGTCTTGTATTCAGTCTCGGTCAGCTTCTACTTACTGCAGCCTTTGTCCCACTGTATACCGGGAGCGACTGTTCCGGGGAATAAGCAGTTGCGCTTGATGTCAGCACAATGCTTCCCTGTACGCCGTTTCTTTTCATGCTGTGCAGTGCAAGTTTTACGAAATTCAGAGTGCCTCGGAAGTTTACATCAACCACCTCGTAATTTGGTTCGAGCAGATCGCCATTGTCGTTGTACGCATCGTTCAGATATGTTCCGTCTTCATCTACTCCCGCATTTGCAATGGCGATATGGACTCGTCCTATCTGAGAGAACGCATCGGAAAGCTCAAGCCAGCGTCTGATGTCGCATTTGCGAAATTGTACAGATAATGGCAGTGTCTCTGTGGGCTGGCAGACATCGAGAATCACTACGCCAGCTCCTCGAGATGCCAGGATCTTTGCAGTGGCCAATCCAATGCCAGACGAACCACCTAAAGTGTTCATGGTAATTAGTATTGAGAACCAAGTGGAATGACTCAAAGTTATTTACCCGTGACAATTGCAGTCTGCCCTTCCAAACTTGGGATGTCCGTTTCTTTGATATTGAGTGTAGTCATTGCGAAGTTGTGGCGAAGGTGCTGCCAAATGTCGTCACAGCTGCAAAGTCGAGCGACAGAGTGGAGGTTTGACCTGAGCCTTCAATCAGGGCTTGGGCGTATGTGACTGAGAGGTGGAGTGTAGAGCTCTTACCTTATCGTAGGGAAGAGTGCGTTCGCTCTGTCCCCGAGACGTGCCTTGAGGTTCGGTTCGGAGTATTGCCATTTTCGGCATTTCTAGTTTGTCTCGTAATCCTTCGGTAGCGATTCAGCTCCTGTTCCATAGGTGACTCAAAAAATACCAGTAAAAACTTTTTTTTCCTTTCTTCGGTTGCTATCGACAGCTCCCGTTGTTTTTAATGCCCCTGGCTTCTAATAATTTGATAATCTTGGTAGTCATGTGATATTTCAGTATCTGTCCTTGCTCCAATTCACTGGTTTTTTTTTCTTTTTTCCTAAGCAAGAGAAAATCAACTCCTTTTGATACTATTAAAAGCTAGAGGCACTCTCTATCTAGATGCTAGAGGCAATCTCTATCTATGAGTACCTTAATTTAACCATCCCTTACGTCAGGCAAGAATGAATGCAAGATATTGTAATATCTATCTATCTCCATATGATGGTTCACTTGATAATTGTCAAAGCCCTCAAGCCATATTTATAAGCTACTTCATCTCATGATATGTATCAGGTATCGGATAATGGGGAAGTCCCGTGTGCCTGCTTTCGTGATAAATCATTGTTCCTTGTTCAATCAGAAACACAGCTTTAAATGCTTGCGAAGTACCTTATTGCAAACTTTGTTTCCAGCATGAGCTAGAGAATAACTACGAACATGGCTTTTATCATAGCATACAAGTAGTCACGACATGTTAACGAAATAACCACCAAATGGCAGGATGTCACCGCCAATTGAAGCAGGCGGCAACCTATGGCAAGAAACTCAAGCTGAGAGGGCTTCTGCTTCTGCAATTATTTGGCATACTGAAAAAGACGGATCAAGCAAAATGGGAAGAAAAGGAAAGCGAAAGTCCCAGGATTTTGGCCTTCCGCTGTCGCCTGTAACTTTGGATTGAAGTCCACGGATCGCGTTAATGAGGTAGGGTTGTCTGAGTACTCTTTCGATATACAATAATCACATCGGTTCTTGATGCCCTAAATCATGCCATTCTTGTCGATCGAACGCAGGAAAGAGTAGTTACGCCATCTGATCCCCAACTATACCATGATAGTTTCACTCTCCTTATCCACCTCCGGATCCCAATAGCCAACATATCCTTCTCTTCCAGTCAAGTAAGTCCCCTTGGCTTGCTCCTCGGCTGTTGCACGAAACACGGCATGTTTCTTGTTCGTCCAGTCGAGGCCCTTCCAAGTAACACCTTCCGAGTCAACGAACTCTGCATCCATTTCAGGTCGCAAGAGGTAAACAATAGAATACTTGTGACGCGTGACTTCGTCCTTATGGGGAATTATGCGGTGCAAGCTCGACTCCAAAACTCCCCCAGAAATGAAGCGAAGCGCATCGCCAACATTCACAACTGCATGCCCGGGCTTGGGCGCAATGTAGTACCACTGATCCTCATTCGGCTTTAGCACCTGGAGACCACCAACCTCGGTGAAGACGATTGAGAGACTTCCAGCATCAGTATGAGCAATCTGGCCCACTTTGTCAGGTTCAACGTCTGCGAGGGTGTACTTGAGAAGACCTAAGGCTGTTGGGCAAACGGCGTTTTTACGGTGATATTGCTGATAAGCAAGCTCTTCATTCAAACCCAAAGCGGCAGAAAGCCGAGACAGTAAGAGAATGCTGATTTCCCGGAAGTTTGCTGTAGCACTTTTCAACACGTCGAGCTGTGTTGCGATCACACTAGGTCCTGGAAAAGTCGAAGGATCGCTGACCTTCGAGATTGGATGTTCGAAAAGCTTCTCAAGTCAGGTTTTGCTTATATGAATTGGAGTACGAGATGTTGGAATTTGACGGAGCCTCACCATAAGCCCTTCGAACCCGTCCTTCTTTCCTTCGACTGGCCCGTTGCCATGCCCTGCTGGTTTGTATCTATTGCAGCAGAAGGCAACCCACCGTCAGATTGAGAAAAGCAGTGCACTAGTTGGAGATTGAACTGACCCCATGATTAAGTGCTCGTCATGATCCCGGTCCACAAGCCACGCCATCTTTTCATCTTGTGGTAGATCATAGAAGCTTATGGCTAGGTCATACATGGATTGCACATTTGCCATGACCTGGCCAGAAGCAACCTCCCGACAGTCAAGATAGAAAAACCCGAGATCGGTACATGCTTTCAGCAAATGCTCACGGCACACCTCATCTCCATCGATGAGTTGCTGGAGGGAGATGACGCGCAAAGGAGCATTCTCCTCAGCAACCCTGTCAGGCAGCGACTAGGGATTCGGCATATTGAAATAAAGAGGTACTGTGAATCGCAAACGAACTGAACAGACTGAAAGCCAGACGAATGAGACAGAAGACGGACACAACATCGGAAATGAATCACGAGGCTAAAGTAAAAGCACAATGCTCATGGATGGCTTTCGGCGGGTTACTACTTCGGGCGAATCCCGACCGTCGAATGCTCGGGCCACCATTTGTCAAGATCTCAGGTCCTTAGTAGTGTGGGTGAATTTTGTTGGGCATCAATAAGTTATGAGATCAAGGGTGCAATATCTGGCAGAAAATCGGTACAGGTATTGGGCTTTGAGACAACTGGATTAGGACAGCTGGTGTGATTTTTGATGCACCATCTGTGGCACCAACAAATTTGATATATTCACATACTTACTAACTTACTTTTGCTAGCATCAAATACAACGACTGAATTTCATTAGCGAGCAGAGCCTTGGCGGATGACTTACGTCTCCAATATTTGAGGAATGATTACCACTCATTGTAATGTGACTCGATACATCAGCCGCTCGAAAGTTCTAGCACACATGGATGGACGTTGGGATTTTGCGACTCATCTGTGCTCACCGACGAAGGCCCTCGTTGCCTTGATTGCCAGGTTGACGGAAGCGAACTAGGCCAAATGAGGCGGGAACTTCAAGAGCGATGGAACAGAACGGGAATTCACTTATTTAGACTTTACTCACATCTTCCTCATGGAAAATAAGCACTCTAACCTCGATACTCTGTCTTGGGTCTTTGTCAACCATTTCCGCATCCGTAAATGCGGCGTGCGGAACCCTGCGAGCGCGCCCATCCGCCTTCCAGTCATAACACTTGATAAGCATCACCTCTTCCGGTGTTTGAAAGCTTTTATAGTACCAGCGATGCCTGCTGTTGGGAAGAATCGTACATGGTTCGCCTACCCAGTCCGGGTAAATGAGCTTGACTGGCAAGATGTCTGTGTCCAACACGGAATGGGAGTCGCAAACCGCGAGAGGATCTTTGTAGATTGTCTTGATAGGGCGCCAAACGTTGATAACCTGGAATCGTGATTGCAATAGTCGAGACGCTTCTTCGCCCAAGTGGCGTTTGACTTGGTTCATAGCCCCCCACTCTGACTGGTCGATGTGAGCTCTTTTCACTGGTCGGCGTTCGTCATCAGAGTGCGCGGCTGAGGGATTTGGTCTCCGAATGGTGTGGTCGAAAATGTGCAACCGTGAGGCGCCGGTGCTAGGCATGGATTAGGGATTTTCCCGATTAAGGCGGCCCAAAGAAATACTTACATTTGCGATAGAAGCTTTTCGATCTCGGGGTAATATACGTCTTTTATTTGTTGATCACTAGTAAAATCCACTAACTGGCTAGCGTGGCGACAGAGCTGAAAGCCATGGCTGTCGAGTGTGAAGTTGCTTTCGTTCCCAGTGATATCGTGAATAACGGTGGCAAAATCGACTGATGGCTGGGTGAATGTGCTTCGTTTCCCCGCAATGCTTGGTGCATGCTCACTCCCATCGCCGGGATCTCGATAGTAATTGATGGTGGTTTCCACATTGCGTGGACTGGCCAGTCTGGCCATGGCAGGATTTCTTTCAAGGTATAGAGATCTGAAATTTTGAGTGATCGTACTTGATTCTACCGGTACAGCCAAACTTTATCTGGGAACTTAGATATGGACTTGGAGGTGGCACGAGGAAATAAAGTTCCTCGCAGGCAGAAAAAAGAAGGCAAGTAATACGCCCTCGTATCTAGCTGGTCCCAAAAGGGAAAAAGGCCGAACTCCGCGTGCGTAAAAGCCGTTAAACATCTGAACAATACACAAGGCCCACCCGTTTGCGAATATTAAGACTCTTGGTATTCAACAATCAAGCAAACAAAATTTAGGATCGAGGGATTTGAAGAACAGTGAAGCATCTACCATGATTGATAAGATTGACGTAACAGGATATTGGCATCTTCATTGTGTATTGTTCTGCGTCTTGGGCTTATTCGGCAATGTGCACACTTTGTTTATCTCCTACGGTTAGCTACAATTGAAACTCCACAGGTAATTTTAGTGATAATTGAATAGACACGTAAAAGCCGCGGATCAAGGACTTTTGGACATTCGTCCTTTGTATAGCCCGACGCCGGATACACACTGATTGCAAAGACTCTGAGACGTTGAGAGCCGGGAACACAGTGTCCGAAGCGTTATGGCAACGAAAAAGGGTCAATCGGGACTTTAATGTTCAGTTGCGTGTCGCAATTAGGATAGCTATGCAGATCGAAAGTGAATCATTGTAATCTTTATGTTCAGCCATGTGAAGATTTCTGGATCGGTGCATAATTGTGCTCTTCATGCTGCAACTCGAGGAAGTCATGAATCGGTCGCAATTAGGCTATTAGAGACAATGGCTACAAACCTCCAGCAACATGAGATCGCATCGGCTATAGATCTTCTGGCTCACCCAGGATTTGTTAAGCCCATCAATGCGCTCCAGACTCTGAAAGGGGACAAGAAGAAGTCCCTACTCGGAACAGAATTTCGAGACAGTAATCATGGTGGGCCAGGTATTCAGGCTCCATTGGCTGATTGATCGTCATTGCGATAACATTACAGCAATTCCACATGACGCCCTTGCTACAGCAGTGCTGAACGGTCATCTATATACGATGCGACTTCTCCTTAATCAAGGGCTGAACATCGAAGCAAGCAGCCGATTCGGGACACCATTATGTGTTGCAAGTTTGAAAGGGCACGAAAAGATTGTCGAAACGTTATTAAGCTGCGGTTCAAACATTGTGAATGACAAGGGACATGAAGCAGCTGCAAGGAATGATCATCTCTCAATATTGCGATTTTTGGCGAAGGTAGCGGAAAGGGGTCACATTTCGGGTATGATTCCGATCTTGATCTCGCGCTAAAAGCCGCGACTGCATATGGTCAATTGCCTGTCGTCGAGGTTTTCTTTGGATCTTGCTCTGAATTCAAGCGACAGTATATCATCGATACAGCTTGCGAGGCCGGCCAGGAGCATTATGTAGAAGAGTTCGATGATCCTAATGAGCACTTCTCAGACATTCCAACAAATGGTCAGTAGACCTCAGTGAGAAGCAGGACTCACATCTACTGAGATTGCTACTAGCCTCTGAAAAATAAACAATCTGCATCTTTCCAGGTTCGATCTTCTTCCATCAAGTGAAGATTAACCGCAAGTGAAAACGAGGTAGACAAAACTTGAGAAAGCTATCAACGTACCAAACCGAGGCAATTTACCAAGCCTGAGCTCATGTTAGGCTTGAAAATGGTAACTGTCTACGTTTCAGAGTGGCGCTATATTCCATCTCTCAACTTGGTCTCCTTCTACTTAATCAACGGTCATCTGTACAACTTCACAGATGACTTTCAGGACATCAATATGACAACAAGTCAGAGTCAAGCATCACAAGCTACTTCATCATTGACAAGTCACGCATGTTTGGATGACAGGAAGTTTTGAATCTGAAACTGAGCCAAACCATCAATCTTCTATTTAATGAGGCGAACGGCAAGCTTTGCAAAGTAGAGAATGTAGGCGCCTGCCCCTAAGAACAGGTGACCATACAAAGAAACGCATGGTCCTAACATGGCCGACTTGACTGAGTGTGACGATCACTTTTCGCACGGAATTTGATTGAGGTAGAACAAGAGAATACTTAGATGAAATTAATTACACTCTTCTCTCATGCGTTAGCCAGCCTCCGCATTAACATTCTGATCTAAGCTTTGGCATGAAGACCAAAGATCATTGACCCGTACGCCTAAGTCTGTGGGTATCGTTGCACTCAAGATATCAGCAGACCCATACTTCTTAAAGTGCCCGTAATGACTTTGGGTAGCTTGGAAAACGCGTGCACCGAGATAAGCGAGTCCATTGTCTACTTCTTCTAGATACTTATGTCCGTGCATGGTCTACCATCTTGTGCCTTGCAATCAGACCGGAAGCATACTTTAGAGTATGACTCGGTTGAAGCCATGAAGCCAGCATGCGTGCAAACGTTTGATTAATAATTGCTCAAAAAATAGTTGATGTAGGCTTCGCCTGACACGCCCACCAATTCGACTAATATCACAAGATTCCTTGGCCAAGCCAAGCCCCAAATCGTCTCGCTAGACGCCCGCAATAAAAGTTGATCCCGTAACGTGTTGAGATGAGGCTAGAGTTCCCTCTATAGCCGGTAGTACGCTGAAACCATCGTCGAGGGCTGTAAGACAAAGTTCTCGGTTTCCATCGAAATCCATCTTAGTATCGCATCCTTGGACCCTGGCAGTGTTGTCGGACACAATGGCAAAGGGAATGACATCCCTGCTGGACACCGGGCACATGCAGATTATCGGGGCCCCACACCTCCATCCAGAACGAGTCCAATGTAGTTTAGCGTTCGGGTCAAAGCTCACTTCCCTGCAGACATCAGCCTTGTGGGTCTAGAGGAAGTCTACGGATAGTTCTTTAGACCCATGACTAAGGCACGGGCTAAAGCTTTGCGGGATGGACACAGGCCTGGCCACGAAAATTGTTTGACCTTACTCGCCTGACAGTCTTCCTCTGTATGGCGGCAATTGGGCGTCGAGGCTGCTGATGCGGATTGCTCCTTGATCAAATGTACGTTGCGATAGATGAACGCTGTCAGTCAAGATTCTTGTGGCTTATTACGATGTGAATAAGGTACTGAACGAAGTAGATAGTGTGTAATGTTCAGAGACATTCCATGTGACGTGCGGCTGTCTTGTCTTGCAGAACTACATTACCTTTCGGCCAATGAGCGGGATGAAACCGAGCCTATCTAGAAAATTGTAGTTCGCCCGGGATCCCATTACTTGGCATCGTTCCCGTTGCCGATCCTGCGACAGATTGCGATGAACTTGTATGCTTCTGGCGCCTTGAATTAAGGTAGATGATCTCAAATTAATACAGGATCCGATACCGAACGGCAAGATAACAAATCTACATAATAGCTACCGGTCAATACTGGTAGCTTATGGCCTCCCCCATATGTGACAAGATCCATCTATTATAGAGGAACTCTATTTATAGTGTTCCGGTTCACATGCCACTGCACGGACGATAGCATACTGCAGATTAGGAAACCAGTCTTCAATTAACCCATCCTTACCTTGTGCCAGGACCCTTGAGGGTCGGGGTATTTCGGCCTGATCGGCCCGTCTGGATCAAGTCTCGCGGCTCGCCCAATGGCCCTATCCACATCAGCGGGTCTAAAATGAATCGGAAACTTTCGTTCCTAGTCAACCTTACGACTATATATACTTCAACAAGTTAGCGCAATCACGGCCCGCAGGAGGGCTCATCCGCTGCACCGGTTATCGGGAGAATATCATCCCCACGTACCTAATCGTACGGCAACTGCATTCCAGACTCTTATGTCTAACTTTAATAGCCGCTCCTATCGCTGTATGACCTGCTGACAGTGCCGGGGACCCCGGAAACACAGATCTGCCAGTTTGAGCATGCCTTGGCAGGACAATAATTCCTCCAGATACACGACTTTCCTCGCCAAGACCCGGAACTAGGCCTGATCGAGAATCTCATGCAGGAAGCTCTGGTCCTTCTGAATTCTGCCTCCTTTGAGAGTTCATCTTTCGTCGCAGCCAAGACTCATAGTCACGAGGCAATATACAGAGTAATGTATAGGGCAGAAAAATCGGTCTTGCCGTGTCGTTACGTCTTGAGATGTTGAAGGGACAACATGCGAGTGATCTCGTACTGGCCATTGGACCATCCGAAAGACACTAGAATCAGGTGGACTTGGAAAGTATAAAGGATCAAGTTATTCTCCCGTTCAAAAGTTCATACTTCTCTCCTCATCACGATCATTCCACACTACAATACCAGTCAGTTCATTCCTTTAGACATTCATTACCTACACTCATTCAAAACCAACCCTCATTTTACCAACACCACCAACACCACCAACACCACCAACACCATCAAGATGCACGCCTCTGCCATCCTCGTCACTCTCCTTGCCGCCACTAGCATGGCTGCCCCTAGCCCCGCCATTGCCAACCACGAGGGGCCGGGCGCCAGTCAGTTCATCGCCCGCCAGGACCCTAGGCTCAAGCAGGCTCAAGACAGACTCACGGGAGCTCGCAATGCTGCCATGGAGGCCATCGAGAATGGCGGTGGCAAAGGCCGCAAGCTCGGAGAGATGAACTGCGGCACTCGCTGCAGCCAATGCCAGACTGGCGCCGTCACGTCTGCTGTAGGAAAGATTGCAGTCTGCGGTGCCGCCGCGCTGGGTCTTGCTGTCGTTAGCGGCCCTATCGGGATCTTCCTCGACGTTGTCGGATTTGCCGGCTGCGAGGCCGAGGCTATCGGAGAGCTGAACAAGTCTGAGGCCGAGTGCTCGACCATCGTCGGCTAAGGGATATGGAGAGGTCGGTCACAGGAAGCTCGCTATCTTATGTAACAGTAGATTGTACACGGTTCGAATTTGTTTTGCTTTTTGTTTATAGAAATTGGGATCCCATTTGCTTTTTACCTTTCGGAGGTCTACCTATGTGAATGCGTGATTGTCTTCCTCCCGTGAACGGCCGGGCTGTAGTTCCATCATTTGCGTCGTGTCCATTGCTTGAGATGGAGCGGTGTTCGAGAGTACGTGTAATGCCAAAATAATGTTTAAGCAACATCTCGGGTTGAGTAGAGAGAATCCGGAAGGTAAGACGCTACCCAACCATTTCTCGACGCGAGCATCAACATATCCTGAGTAACAACTAGTCTTGTGAAGGTTTGTGCATCTTTGCACTCACCTACAGTAACAGAGCCGCAATTCTATCGATAATATTCCCTTTTACCGTTCTACCTAGTTTATCTTCGAGCTATTTAGCCATATACTCCCCATCAGGCCTCTCATATTATTCTTTATCCAGTCTTCTACTTCATCCAGAATATTGAGCATCCATTTTCCTAGCTTCTCGCACTCGTCATCCAGTTTACTAGTATAAAAAGCCAAAGACTCAATATTATCCGTAGTCTCGACTTGACGATTTACAGCATGCGTAGTTGGTTCGAGAATAGAAAAAGCAGATCAGATATCCTATCCCGCAAATATTTTCGCTCTGTACACTGGTCATTGAGACTCGTCCCCCTGAAAAGTATGACCTGCACCAAAGAACAGGATTCAGCTTCATTGGGCGCAAGCGAGGTTTACTTTTCTGAAATGTGTTTAAGTTCCCAAGTTCTAGTTCTTTCTGTATTTTGGAAACTAAAGGATGCCTTCGACGGGATTGGGCTTTAGGCCTTTTGGGTGTCTGTAACCTAGCTAGAGATATAGGTAGAGCTGGCCGTTTCAGAGGTGGCTCGGTTATTGGTCTACAGCATCTGACAACACTCTGAGGGCAGTCCATCTACGGTGATGATTTCACCTGTGTATAACGCTATACAACAACCAAGGCAAAATAGTGACTCCAGTGTGTCGCCGCGACGGTGCAGTACGGGCGAAGTAGATAATGGTGTCTCATGTAATCTTTTATCCCAGCTACCTTAGAAGTAGACATTGCTTACACTATCAACGATTCCATCCCGCAGAGTCCTCCATCCCTCCTGACCTGCCCATTTCTTTAACAAGCTAAGGCCTTCACTCTGGTCAATCGACACAGCAAGATGGAAAGTCTCTGGATAGTCTTCTATGAAGGCGTGGTCTGGCCGCGTCTCTCTTAAAATAGCCAAAAACTCGTTCCAATGAGCGCTGTTGCCCCAAGCCTGCACACGGGCTTTCTGAACAGCCGGGTCAAGCATGGCTGCCACGTGGAGCAATGCAACGTCCTTGACATCTACATAATAGGCTGTTGCCTGTCAATAATTTCCATGATCCGTGTCAATATGTCCCATGTTACTCACCGGCGGGGTAGGGATCCAGGAGGCTCCTTTTATTGTTCCAAATGTGGTTGAGCCAGTTGGACTTTGCCTCAGCATGCTTTCTGTGCAAAGGCTCCCCTAACACACCAGACGGATTGATCGAGTTGACGTTGTAATGAGGCTGTTTTTCGCTGACAAAATTCCAGACAGCTTTCTCAGCAGTGACCTTGCTTGCCGCGTATGTGGTCATGCTGCGAGAAGCCTCGTAGGGAGGTGGCGCCCACGCAGCTTCGACGGCGGCTTCGTTCCAGGTATGTTGTGTAACATGCGTCGTATCCCCAGCCCGCGGCAAAATGAGGGCCACAAAAGAGCTGGTATACACAACCTCCTTGACGGATGGCTCTTCGGCGGCTGCCTTCAGCACCGATAATGCTCCATCAACAGTTCCAGGAATGACCTTCCTCGGGTCGGGGTCGAGACTGGTAATAGTTGCCAGGTGAATGATTCCAGAAACTCCTTTCACAGCTTCGTCGAAAGCACCTTCCGCGCCTAAGTCAGGGACTTCAACGAGTTCAAATTCGCCTCGATCAACATGTGACTTGAAGAGCTGATCAATAAGCCACGATGCCTGGACTAGGTTCCGAACCGAACCGCGGACTTTGTAATTGCGCTTCAAGAGTTGACGGGCTACATGGCAGGCGATAAAGCCTGTAGCGCCGGTAATGAGCACCCAGGAGCCGGCGGGGATGGTTATGTCCTTGGTCGATTGATGCATATTGAGAGGTTAGATTGACTGTTCCGGCTGGACGCAGCGGATAGAAGGCAGTTAGATGCCACATAAAGACAGTCTAAAAAGAAAAAAAGTTCTTTAAATGGACATAACTACTCACGCAAGAAAATAATGACACCATCGGGGAATTGAAACGGTACAATACCGAAGCTAACCTCCAGAAAAGCAAAGAACCCGACATTCGGCCCTACAGGTATATGAGCCCAAGTGCCTTCCTGAAGCGGTTATTCTTCGCGCTGAAAGCTAGGGGGACAACTTATCCTAGTAGCCGTTTTTAGCAAATCCAGGATCTGATTTTTATGTATCGTTCGTCCTCGCATGCTTCCCTGAGGCCGAAGGCGGGCCTCACTTTTTCGCCCGAGCCCGTTATAGAATGTTCGCTGTTCAGTACGGAGTTTAGAGTCCTAGATCCGGTAGTGGATCTTTCCACTAATTTGGCACGCTATGTGCTATGAGGCTCGCACAAATTACGTAGTGGATCATTACGCAGACCGTACATTCTGTGACGGATGGCAGCCGTACTGCCAGAAGCTGGAACTGTACCGTTGAGCGATGTATTCAAAAGAGAGCCCCTAGCTTGTGTGGGGCTATTCCGAGTAAGGTACATATGTAGTTCCGTCACGTAGCAACTTGTGTACCATAGCCGAAGCTATAGGAAAAGGTTGTGCTTGACGAAAGGTCGTGTTTGTTGTCACTGTCTTTGGCCTAATTCCTCCATGACCTTGGAGATAATCACAAATAGGTTCTTTGCTTGATATATATGGTGCTTTTTTGCTTAGATTTCAGACATTGAATTTGAGGTCTCTTGCTGTCCGAGTCCAGATTTATGGGCAACGTTAAACTACTCAGAGTGCTTGGCTGAAGTTGGGATATCTTACCAGCAGTGTTGACAGGTCTACTGTTGACGGAATTTGGCGGTCCAAAATGCCTTCCGAAAGCCGCTTCCACCCTTGACGGCATTTTGGCTGCTGCTGACGTGGCTAATGGTGTTTAAGACCGCAATGCATCGCCGCTAGTGAGGCCGATCTCATCTGGTTCCCTTTCGATCACCCACTCAAGTCTTCACCTGAGCCGTAGCTTCTTTCACAGCAGGAGTGTCGACTTTAAACCGTAGCCAAAATGGTTATGGCATGCTTTCATGACTTTTCAAGCTTGGCCAACGAATATTGGTGTTGTGTCATTCTTGTACTTACTGCTGCGGACTGCTACCGGCTCAAGCTGGCAGTCTGCCTGACATAATTTCAAGCACGTTGAATTTTCATGGATACTTCTACATGATGAGTTTGCTCTTTGAATTTGTCTGAGATGTAGAAGCGTTAGCATAGGTACAACGCCAAGTGAACGTATCAGGAACGCCCCTCGTATCATCTGAAGGCCTCTGCGCATCTAAAACAGCGTGTCGAGTTAGATAATCGCACCTCAGGCATTACGATGCTGGCTCATCACTTTCCGGCAGTTCCATAACGCCTTGTCATGCTTCAAAATCCTCTTGCTGATAGTTATGGCACTTGCCAGTTGGCGAGCTTCTTCTGCCAAGCCCATGGCAGACTTTGCATCACAAAAGCCCAACATGCATCTAAAGACGCTCCAATTTTATCGTTTGACTCTGATTTGAGCATGAAGCGATTCGTTTCCCACATAGTCTCCGGTCAATCGGTCAGAAATTCGAATTCAGACGTGTCGTGACTCTATCTTAAACGAGCCTAAAACCCCCGCTTTCACTGCTCGACGACAAAATTGAGACGATGGCCGTGAGGAACGATCATTATTTGAACCAGGTTCCACTTGTTTATGGTTTAATACCATCTTTCACTTCGATAATCAAATATATTGACCAGGGCGGACACGTAAAACAAGTAGCCATCAGCGGTGACAAATGTGGCTGATGTGCGAAAGTGTGGTACACACGCGTTGGTCCCGTTGGCCCCGTTGGCGATGGGAACCTCATTATGATATTCTTGCCCGACTTCCTAATATTCGCACTTCAATCAAGCGTCCAAACGGCCTTTGCACACAACTGTCTTCTTGTCGCCAGATTGGCTATCTGCTATGTCATTTGCTCTTGAGTAAAAGCAGATACTTGCAGACCATCAAGCTGACAGGCTTCGTTGGAGTACCCGTTCCGCGTGCTCCCACGCATTATGTTGATTGGCATAAGCAGTCCATCCTCGAAACTCATTGGCTGATTGGGTTAGTTGGGATCACAATTTCGGGCATACAGTACGTACGAGTGGGCTGGCCTCTTTGCGAGTCGCTTGCATCTTGTCCATTTCTACGAGCGTAATCTTGAATGCGGTCAGCTCTTTCTTTGCGACAGACCTGCAGCAACTTGAGCCGCTCTGGGACCTGTTCTGCCAGAGTGCCCCGCCGTAGCAGAATAGCGAGGGTGACAGCATCTTCAATTGCCATTGCAGCGCCCTGACCCATAACTTGTCTTGTCAGCCGATAGTCGTTCAACTTTTGATCGAGTACACTCACACGGTGTGAAGGGGTGGCAAGCATCGCCTATGAGGGCGAGGCGACCTTCAGACCATTTCTCAAGGGGTTCCATGTCCAACAAAGGCCACACCTTCAGATCTTCCTCGGGGGCCTGTTCCAGAACAGCTTTGGCTCCGTCACCGAAAGTCTCAAACGACTTCAGCATCCCCTTCTTCTTGTCCTGAGGAGATTCCGCTTCTGAGGCCCGTTAGTGAACACACACCATACACTTGAGAAGATAACCAACCAATGGCAGACGCCTCCACCTCTTCGCTCGGTACAATGGCGACCAGGTTCAACATCTCGCCATCGGCACAAGGATAGCAGATGATACGGCGATCATTTCCCATCCATTCCGTCAAGGAAATACCGAGTTTGGCATACTCCGATGTTCGGTTGTCATCGGCCATGGTGCTCCTCGGAGATAGCCAACGGTAGCAATGCTTTCGAAAAGGGAATACCTTCTTGTGAGCATCGATGTACTGCCGGGTGAATGACTGCCTTTCATTAGTCGCGACGCCACTTTTGGTACACAGAGTTCTTACGTGGACACCATCAGCGCCGATAATCGCGTCGCCATGATGCTTCCGTCCGTCGGACAGCGTCAGCTGGCCGTTCTGGATATCTAGAGATGTAATGTCACAACTGAGGTGCAGCTGAACCAGCTCGCCGCCGGTATCTCCTTGTTGCAGGACTTGGTGCTTAAGGGCTGAGTGGAGATGCGCTCGGTGGATGAAGTAAAACCTCTATTCTCATCAGTTTTCGACTATTCATGCGAGCAGGTGCGCGCAACTCACCTCCGATTGGAGTTTGGACGGAATTTCCTGCTTGACGAAGCACTTGCCAGCCGAATTGTACATAGTCCACTGTTTATACCCTTTTAGCAACATCTTCTGCAGGATATGACCAAAGTTGACCAAAGTACAAACCAGATTGCAGATGCTGGACCCGTGTTCCTCCGGCTCGAAACCAATCTTTCGCAGGATAGAGGTACAGTTTGCTGCTAGCCCAATGGCTGCACCAATTTCCGCGGCGAACTTTGACTTCTCGAACACCTGAAAGCATCTGGTTAGATACCAGACCGCGCCGGAAGAGAGGTCGATGACAAACCAAGACTTCGTGGCCTTCGCGGCTCAATGCCAACGCGGCGGTGAGACCGCCTATACCGGCTCCAACGATGAGAATACGAAGCTTTTGGCCTTCCATGATGACACTGTGCTTACTGCGCAACTTGTTGAACGTCGCAATTGCCCTGCAGACTGCAGTCTGGTTTATTCACATCCTACTCCAGTTCTTATATCGATTTGTATGTCGCATTGCAATTCAGGGACAGATCTGAAATGTATCTGGTGTGGATATCTCTCATGTCAAAAATTCAACTTGTTGGGAACAAGACTTCGTCGGACCGATTGCCACCGCTTCATATCGGTGTACACTTGTTTCCACCTTCCCGTAACACCTCCGCCTGATCCTGAATACCGGAAATTGCGTGGAATGGGAACCGAATCAATCTTTGACTTTGTGCCTTTCCAGAAGCTGTTGAAACGACCCTGATTGGAGGCTGGTTTGGGAGCATTTCAGGCCATGCCGTTACTATAGATGCAGGTGCATGAGAACCGTGCAACCTCAAGCTAGCAGCTCGGTTTCGCGAAATCCTGGTCATTAGAAGTGGAGTGGATAGATTTGCTCTCTCCTCTTGTAAGCTCGCCTCCTCGATAAAAAAGGATTGTAATATTAACTGCCTAATTAGGTAGTTATAACCCCGTTGGGAGCGTCTCTGAAACCTGAATAGGGAATTTTTTAAGAAAGAACAGCGAGGATCATTCCTGTAAATACCTGGACGCCTGATCGTCTCGTGTCTGTCTGGTGGCACTAGGGTTCCACGATGACTACAGGGGCTGAAATCATTGAATGTGCGTAACGTAACCCACCGTCGCGTAGCCTAGATCACCGTCTCAGTGCTAATCACAGTGAAGACCCACCATGGGCCATGGTTAACCAAGTGCCAGGATCAAAGTTGATCGACAAGATCCTGGCTAGCGCGGCGAAAGTCTAGAGCCATCTTGATGGAGTAGCGTGGCGGAGATAGCTTCATATATTCCCGCTTAGTCATGTCTGTGTTCCAAAGCCAATGACTGAGACCTGCGAGCGCGACGTTGCGAGCAAATGGAGATAACAACTATGTCCGGCTTTCCACGACTAGACACGAAAATGGTCTCAAGTTGGCGATGTTGCATATATCACAAAGCACTCGCACGACTTTGCTATAGTCCAATGACCAATTACCCATACTATGACAGCCGATCACACTTGACGCCTTCGTCGTTGTTCACTTTCCTTCATCCTCACCTCCGCCCCTATCCACCATGATGAATGGTGAACGGGATGTTGAAAAGGCGGCCTCTGCGACCAACCACAAGGCGTTTTTTTCTTACCTATACGATGCTGCTGGCGTTACCCAAGAAGTGTTAGATTGGTCTTACCAGGGTCATGGCACCCAAAGCGACCCTTTTGTTGTCGAATTCCTGGTAGCGGATTCTGCCAACCCATTACAGTTGCCAAGCTGGAGGAAATGGTCTATCACATTCCTTCAAGCATTTGCAGTTCTAGCTGTAAGCTTTGCATCTAGTTCATTTTCTAGCGGCATACCATATATCGTCGATGAGTTCAACGTTAGCCGCATGGTGGCTCTACTCGGAGTATCCTTGTTCGTTATAGGCTTCGCTTTGGGGTGAAGTATTGCCAGCTGCATACCATTGAATTCAAATGACTAATCAGCCTCATATTGTTGCAGACCACTTGTGTTCGCACCCCTCTCGGAAATGTTCGGCAGACAACTCATATTCGCCATTACCTTTGGTGCGCTGACGGCGTTCAATGCTGGCGCCGCTGGATCGAAGAACATTGAAACTCTGCTCATTTTGCGCTTTCTAGCTGGGACGATTGGGTCGGCACCTCTGACAAATGCCGGCGGAGTGATTGCTGATATGTTCTCGGCGGACGAACGAGGCTTGGCCAATGCTCTCTTCGCAACGGTGCGTCTAGATAATCCCTGTATGACCCGCTTGACTGGCCTGCTCGGTTATGTGCTTTGTTCATTGTGCTTGCCTTTATATTCACCTGCTGACGCCAATGTGAGCCAGGCTCCTTTTCTTGGACCGGCTGTAGGCCCAATCGCAGGTGGCTTCCTGAGCCAGGCCAAGGGCTGGCGATGGCTTCAAGGCCTGATGGCCATCTTCACTGGTGTTCTTTGGATTCTTGGTTCACTTTGGGTTCCTGAGACCTACGCCGTCGTAATCCTGCGTCGCAGGGCAGAAGTTCTGTCCAACATTACCGGCCATGTTTACGTCTCTAAATTCGATGTTGGTCACCCCAACAAAGCGTTGCTCGCAGAGCTCAGAAAGGCTCTGCTACGACCATGGCAACTCTTGTTTTTGGAGCCTATCGTTCTGCTCTGTTCTATTTTCCAAGCTGTTGTTTTTGGGACCTTATACATGATGTTCGCCGCTTTCCCGATTGTTTTCCAGCAAACCCGTGGTTGGTCCAACGGCGTTGGTGGTCTTGCATTTCTGGGTGTCGCCATAGGCATGATGTTTGCTGTTGGGTATAGCGGCTACGACAATATTCGTTACATCAAGGTCAACAAAAGCTATGATGGCGGTGCACCTCCGGAAATGAGACTACCCCCTGCTCTGATTGGATCAGTTCTCCTACCTATCGGCCTGTTCTGGTTCGCCTGGACGAACGGACCAAACATTCACTGGATCTTTCCCATTGTCGGATCGGGCTTTTTCGCGGCTGGTCTTGTCCTGGTTTTCTTAAGCCTGATGAACTACCTGGTCGACTCTTGTGAGTATTCGGACTTTGTATACATTTTCTCACGAAATGGAGACGTCTAACGTTGTAGATGTCATATACGCTGCCTCCGTTCTCGCCGCGAGCTCCGTCTTGCGAAGTCTTTTTGCCGCAGCGTTCCCTCTTTTCACCACCAATATGTACCATAGCCTTGGCATCCATTGGGCAAGTTCTGTTCCGGCTTTTCTCTCCCTTGCCTGCGTTCCGTTTCCGTTTCTGTTTTTCAGGTACGGAAAGTCGATTCGGTTGCGATGCAAATATGCAGCTCAAGTTGCCTGATGTTGTGTCCCTTGAGGGTTGAGACGAAAACAACTCGACTTCGAGGTGTAAGTTGAATTAATTGAGGGCAAAACCGCAAAGTTGACCAAGTTTATCGTAACTTGGGTAGAAGGAAATAATCAAGCGTGGGGCGACCCCTTTTCACTCAAAAAGGGAGACTTCTCCGAATGGTATATGTAAATATTCTATAATCAGTCTAGACAACTTGTACAATTGAGCTTAGCCTAGAACTTGAGTTGGTCAAGAGCGGGTTTCTGCACGTTGACTGAATTGATGACGAAGTTGATTATTGAGGTTGTAGTGAGTGAAGCGTTGAGGAGGCTGATGAATGAGTCGATAAGCTGTGACTTTCGACTTTGTCGTTTGCATTTTATCAACGCCCTTTAATTCATGAGGCATATTGCCAGACTAACCTTACTAAAACATGCCTAAGCTAGGATTCAGCTGAGTCTTAGCCTACCACCACATTCACCAGCTGAATGAGCTTGGGATTGGCTGCGCCATCATCAAGATTCCAACCGGACTGGCTTGGAAACAGAACATAATTACCGGCGCGGTAATGCCTTATTAGTATTAGCTTCTTCTCACATCGCAAAATGCGAATCTCATGAGAGTCAGATCAGTGATGTCGCGCAAAACTCGTCATGCACTTGAACGAATCACAGCCCCCCAGTCCGCTGGAACAGAGTCGCAAGAGCACCACTAGCCAGCTATGCCATTCCACAAGCTCCGACGCCGTTGCTGCGAAAGATATAGATCAATTATAGTTCTCTGTCGTCGAACATGTTACAAGGGCTGAGGTATGCTGCGCCATCTTCCGTTATAGCGAGATGTACCGACTAAACTAGGCAAGCGCTGTAAAGCCAACCCTTAGACCTGTTCTTAGAACGATAGCTGCAATATACTGATGAGGTATATTAGACATTGACTTGAAGGCATTCGCAGGCGTATTTCTAACTTTTGCCTAGCCAAGAGGATCAATCTGAGATGCTAGTAGCCATATTCAAGACTAGTTATTTACTTAAACCCTCTCAACTTCCCTCTTCTACGTAGACTTTGTATACTTAATAGAACAGAATTTAGGTCCAAGTCTTGAATCCCTGACTAGACCGTGATGTCTCAGATAATTCTACGCCTAGGCCCAGAACGACAAGTGTGGCAAAAAGCAAAACCGTTGGCAATGACGAATTAGTCATTTTCTATCCCTACTCTGCGCTATGCAATTACCCCTGAAACAGTCCAAACGGCCTGTGCATAGTATATAAGAGTTTTAAAGGCATGATTTGCTTTAAAGGCTTAACCCGCACTTTCCACTTTTGTTCCTTCTAGTAGGGAGATTGAGAGGTTTATGCGAATCTTTCAAGTTTTACTTCCCTCAGTCCGTACTAAAAGCAAGAACGAAGCTACATAACTAGTCGCTGACCAACTGCAAACCGACCTCATTCGATATGAACCTCACTTCGGTTTTCGTGCCCATTCTCGTTTCCGGGGCAATGTCATTGTCACTTCCGAGGGACGAGTCTTCCACGGTGAGTTATCGTGCTTTCAAGTCTTTGCGTACATGGCCTGTTTGGTCTTGTGCTGCAATGAGAAATAGGTCGTAGGGTCCTAGTACGGGAAAGATACAGGAGGCGAATGATGAGCGACGGTGCCAAGGATGACTATGAGCTAATAATTTAAGATAGAATACCTATATGAGTATCACCTATCATAGTTAATAACGATAGATTGGACAGCCAGTACTATTACTAACAGATTAATATGCTACTAATGTATATATTTTTCTACACCCGGCGGATCACGATATCGTCTAAGAGAGCATGGAGAGTAATAAAAGAGGTTATAAATAGCATACGAGTGTTCCTAGACTACAGCTATCGAGGAGGCAGACATTATAAAAGGAAGTATAGAAATTAACGCGAACAGGTAAAACCAGCCCGTAAATATCGTTTTGTTTTATGAAAAATGATAAATGATAGAACTAATACGGGTATTAATATAATCAAATAAAACTAAGGTATAAGTATTACCTATTTTTACAAAAAGTAATAGATAACGGAGCCGCTGCGGATACTAATACAACGGGGTGAAACTAGCCCATAAGTATCGCCCATTTCTAAATAGTAGTAGATGTCTAAAAGAGTAAGAAAGTTAAACTAACAATCCAACCCCAGTGTATAAGCATTGCTTATGATAAGGCCCGGAAGCTAAGACAATGATATAGACTGCGCTAGTCAGTAGCGCCGACACGATAATTGGAGCGCAGAAGCTAACTAGTTGGCATAGGTTCAGGACGTAAGTGATGCTCCCCTACGACAAAATGATCGACACAGACGGTGCAGAAGCTAACATGATGGGTTAACAGAAGCCGGTAAGTTTGGTGTTGTCCGCAGATAGTACGGACACTAACAGTGTTATTATAGCCTCGAGTAAGTATCGTGTCAAGTCTCGCTGCTGAGATGTCTTACTGTATCTTGATCCGAGACTTCTCCTTTATTCCCTACGTAGTAGGTTGCTTTTGTATATGTCTACGTACAGAGTTGTGCACCATTATTTCCCAGGGAAGGCGGGGCTTCCGGTGAAGGGAGGTATCCTCGCTGGGTTCTGAACCTTTCTGCCTCTTTCTCTAATTATTGTGTCTTTGTCGCTCTGTCGTTTTGGGAATGCGACTCCGCCGGTAAACGGCGGGACTTTGGCTGTGTTCTTGACGCGACTGACACTCTCAACCCCACTAGACCTAGAATTAGCACAAATGTACTCTACCTGGAGCTTTCGCCAGACTTACATTGACTCAACGGGAAGTGCGCTAGCCTCGAAAAGAGATACAGCGATCACAAGTGTAGAGAAAAACTTCATGATTACTATCGTTTAGCTGCGACGGAAGTAGTTTGTTTTGGGTAAAGACAACTCTTTCTCAGCCGTTAGCGAAGTTCGTGAGACTTTATAGCATTCTTAAACATTAGATCGGCCTCGCTGTTTTACATAAACCCCTTAAAGACCGTGTTGCTGGTGCACACAAGGTTCAAGGCGACGTTTCTGTGTGTTTGGGAAACACGACTCGCGCTCCAATGTCGTTTCTAGTCGCCCGGAACGGCCGTTTTTCGCCGAGTGATCTCGAAATAAAGACGCCGGATAAACTTTAAGGCCTGATTCAGAGAGCACGCCAAGCCCGAAAATAGGTCTTGCAAACCATCTGAACTCTTGAGTGACCTCTGGAGATCATTGTAGGCCTGGTATATCTTTCCGGGCTGGTGCACGTGATACAAGTACGACGAATCTTGGGTTTTTGATCCATCATGTCTTGGATGTCACCTTGAATGTCCGTTCAACACAGGGTTTGAACCCGGTCCGATCCTCTGGGAAGCATCTATAGAAGACAGACGCGATGATCGATCAATACTATTACCTCCATTACTTGGCACACTTGAATTGTAGATCATTAGTTGATCCTCAAGAACACGCCTTGTCATCCATAGTTCAATCGGATTGCATCGATGCTGTATCTACCACTACTTTTTGCCTGACATGCCATCTAAGCAAGTGACCTTGCTCGTTCTAGAAGCTCAATATAAGACATCAACCGCCTAGGCAGCTTCAGCGGCGGCAACTCCAGCACCCGTGGACAAGTTGGCTTTCTTGCCAGTTTCTTTGCCGTTACCTCCGTTCTTCTTCTTGCCGTCGTCAACCGCTGTACCGTTGTTCTTGTTTCCAGGCTGGTTTCCCTTGCCGTTATCCTTGCCCTTATTCTTATCGGCATTCGCGTTTCCATTGTTCTTCTTGCCATCCTTATCGTTGTTATTTTTGTTGGTGCCGGCATTGGCGCCGGCGTTGGCAGTTCCATTCGCCTTGCCATTGTTGTTGTTCTTGCCGTCGTTATTGTCCTTGCCGTTGTTCTTCTTCCCATCGTTGTTCTTCCCCTTTCCGTTGTCTGCGGCCGTACCATTGTTTTTGTTTCCACCAGCACCATTATTCTTCTTGCCGTTGTTCTTGTCGGCATTGTTATTTTTCTTTCCGGTGTTCTTGCATCTGCATGCTTTGCCCTTTGCGTCTTTGCCCCTCTTCTTTCCCTTGGCGCATCCTTGGCAATTGTTGTTGTTCTTCTTCTTGCCGTCGTTGTTGTTCTTCCCGTCATTTTTCTTGCCGCCTCCTGCCATTTGGTTAGCCTGATGATAATAAATGGTGCACTGTCAATGTCCTACCAGCAGTATTGTTGGCCTGACGTGCTATGAGCTCGCCAAAAGTAGCAGCCTCCTCAATGTCACGGGTGGTGAGATCATTCTCATCATCCTCCTCTGCTCTATCTTCAATCGCAAATGGATGTAAAGTTGAATCTTGTTCGTCTCTATCAACAAGAGTAGGGCTTCCCGTGATGGCCTCAAGGTCTCGGGCAACCTCGTCGCGGGTAGCGATGAGACCCGCGTCTGTAATAGCTGCGGCTGCGATGCCAGCCAGAAAGAGAACTGAGATAGGCTTCATTGTCGTTGGAGTGAATGTGAGAGCCTTGGAGACTGGGTGAAGTAGGAATATCTGATGTCAAATATCTAGAAAGACAAAAGCTCAAGTGAAAAGAAAGGAAAGCGTCCGGCGCAATGAAGCAATCTGGCTGCTGATGGTGTGATGATGGTTTCAAGGCCCGAACAATTCATGTGAATATCCTAAGCTTTATAGAATCTATCGGTATAGAGTCGATGGACAGATATGAGCATCGCAATCAGCCATATATCGAGGTGTGCTGGCCTGACGCCCCTCACACCCCCGGTCTGTCAACTCAATCACCTACACATCGTGCCGGCGGAACCGAAGGCTGTCAAAATAATCAAGATGATGTCTACAGGTCCGTGGGAAAATGGTGTGCATGCTACACAGCCATCGCGGATTTGTGTTCGTCTGGTGTCATGTAAGTGCTGCCATCCCTTCGCTTGGAAAGTCTGTACGGACAACCCAAGTTCGGATTCGGCTATAAGCGAAATTTTCTGCAACACTTTAGACGAAGCCCTTGCTTGGAGAACCAGTACGTATCGAGCAATATGGTTAGGTTGTATGATCAGCAAACCAAGCATTTGTTATTCTGCTTGGGCCGCCGGCGGGTTTGTGCCGGTTCATTTAGCACCGCCTCCATTGCTTCAAATTTCCATGAAAACTGGGAGTGATGCGAAGCTCGTGTCGCAGATCACTGTCGCTGTGGGGAAAGCATCTGCGGAGGCCGAGGCCAGCGATTGAAGTATTGAAGGTGAAGGGAATAGGCGGCCTGGGCTAACTGACTTGGTCAGTTGGCTCGTGCCGAACAGCTCTGACACCATACTACAGGAGCTAGTGAGTGAGGATATGCTGTCTCGTGTGGGCTTCCTCTTTGGGCTTTCTGAGACAGCGCTTATTCCAGGCCATCGACAAGCGATCCTTTCAGTCTCATTTTCGAGATGGATTAGAGTTAAACTGTTGAGCTGAACAGTTCACTGTTCATGAAAAATCCATCAACGGGTCGATACCAGGCTTTGACTTAGGTACTGAAAAATTCAGACTAAGATGTGTTGCGCGTCCCTGCTTGCTTGGACGCCCGATCCGGGCGTTCGGCCAGATCATCATCCCGGCTTCTTTTCACAGTTCTCTCTCACGACGTCTGGAGTAATTGGTCTCGATGTTGCAGGCTGTCCGATTATCCGTGTACTTTTTACCTGACGGGCTAGGAGCTTTTTTGCCGCGGAAACTAGTTGCCGTGTCTTTGTTAGCGACAAGCTAGGATTTAAGTTGTCTCAAGTAAAATGAGTATTGAGCAGGTTTTACCGGGTGGGTTGAGCCTCTTCTATGAGCCTTAGTCTTCCAGCCAGGTATATCCTTGCTCAAAATCTATCCCAAGATCATGGAACTAACATGATGTTCTGCCGTGATCCGAGCTGCCCGCAAGTTAAGGAAAGCATCAGAGAATGTACCCATTATGATAAGATGAGTTCTGTTAGATCGAATGGCAGGCTGCATCTTTCTCCGCATGTGCAGAAACAGTCAGAGGAGGTGGATGAGCTCAACCGTGCGGTATTAGTCAACACTTGAGTCAATCAGTAAGGATGAGATGATCGTTGACGCTTCAACTTCATTGAGGCTGGAAAGTCACCGGTCCGTGTTTAAAAGTTCTCACGTGGCAACGATCTTCTCAATCTTCCGCGGGGTCCCATGATCTGTCCCGACGGGATAGGGTCCTTAGTTCTTCATTGATGCTCGGAGCTCCGAGAGGAGTAGAGGGCGGCGTCCAGTCTCACCGACAAGAAAGTACCACTCGAGCATTCGAGGTTACTGCAAAAGTCAGGCATCCGCGGGCAAGTCCGTAGATGAATGGTGATGACTTTTGGGTCGGTAGAGAAAATGAAATATCAGCTCTGTAGGTGTCATCTGAAGACGCGAACCTTTTTGATATTAGAGGCGCTCAACACATGGCAAGAATTTCCCAAGGTCTTTTTCGTCTACCGACTACTGCGTGTAACATTGACTAACAGATGGCCATGTGCTTGCATCACAGAAGCTGGGCAGCAACTTATAAGTATGCGGCGGCGATACCGCTTCACCATTCCCAAGCTACTATCACTGGTTTAAAAAAGTTCTGTTCGGAAACAAGTCTGGGACCTATGGATCATGCAGAGTTTTAGAGGACTTGTTCTTAAGGAAACTTCGCTCTCAATTATCTAGCGTTTTGCTTACTTAGGAGCTAGTTGTCCGCTTCTCCCTGGCTTACTCCTGCTGAAATCGGGGTAGCTAGCCAAGGATCCTGGAGTAAAGCTGCTGCTGAGGGGCGATGCGAAGGATCGTACTGGAAAATAGATCTCAGCATACAAATGATCTGCTTTTCCTCATCATCGTCCACATCCTCTGCCTTGTGGGCCTTTATAAGCTTCTCCAGAGTCTCATGAAGTTGGGGCGGTCCGCGCTCGCCTACGTCGAATTGAAATCCATCCATGTCATCACCACCTTCACCAAATTCGTCCGCTTCGCGATTTGATAGACTGTCATCGGAATCCCCGTCCTCGGAGAATTCTTCTTCGAAGTCCATTGGGCGCGCATCAAGTCGGTCTCCATTCGAGCCATAGTACTTCGTTGCATTCGGCCATTTTGCTAACAGACATTCTGGCAGCGATCCAATGATGTCAGTTAGCTGTATCAGGTGCTCATCCTTGATACCTTGATCGCTAAGACCGAAAGGTGGGAGCTCAAATAGCGCCGCGCCTGTGATGAGTTCATAGGCGAGGCAACCGAAACTCCAAATGTCGATCCCTGTGCCGAAGGCTTCGTTCAGGATTGCTTCAGGTGCTCGTAAAGACACTGGAGTCACAACTGAGCGCGGAGGATCGTCTATGGGGAAAGCTAGAGCCATGTGAGCCTCAAGAAATCAAAGCTGTCGAGATGTCCTACCTCCACCTAAGTCCGAAAGCTTCGTCACTTCATCTAGCCCTGTAAGCGCGAATTCCGACAATGGCTCAGACACAGCCAGGTATTTGGGAGCCCATTTGTCAGGCTTGCCATCAATGCGCCGCAAATGGTCGATATTCGTTGTGTCCTCGGCTTGCTTGAGCACCTGGCGCTCGAAATGAGTGAGGTCCTGCAGAGCGAAGAGAACGTTGCCAGACTGAAGATCGCCGTGAACTATTTCATTCTCATGGAGAAACTGTAGCCCTGAAAGCACTTGTCGTAAAATGCGTTTGGTTTTATCCTTTGCAAAGCGTCGTACAGGTGGGTTCCGGGGATCGTAAATTTCGGCGGGGGCGTTGAGGACGGAGGACAAGCTTGGACCCATGGGTTCGAGTACAAGACAAAGATGTCTTCCATTAGGGCCGTCATGGTAGAACGAATCTAGTAGGGCCACGACAAATCTTGAGCACGGGTCCTCTGGTACCCTTTCGGCGAGAAGGCGTTGGATCTTCACTTCATTTGGTTCATCTCGTTTGGCTACCTCGATCTTCAAAGCAACGTAACGATTATTTCTAGAGACATATGAGCTGAATGAAACTCGGTGGGCAACTGGAAGGGGAGGGAACAATGGCGACGCGACTTACGACATATCAAAAGCAAGCCAGACAGTTCCGAATGAGCCGTTCCCAAGCTTTCGTATAATTTCGTAGTGACCGTCGAAAACATCACCAAAATGAACTGGATGAAATCCTCCAGGATGATATGACTCTGACCATTCACATGGCGTGCCAGCTTGGTGAAATCTGAAGTTTTCCTCTGACGAAGGGTCGGTCGAAGGAGGTGTTGGCGGTGGTGACGACATGGTGAATGTGCGATCAACTCGGGGTTCCCGGAGGTTGCAATTTCAGCGACGCTTGGTGTTGATATCTCGGGGCATGCGCTGGCCTGAGAACAGCTTCCGAGCGTCGATGGAGGGATGAAGAAAAGCTGAAGAACTTGAGATGCAAACTAACGGGAATGAAGTTGGCGAAGATCAATCAGTGCCTTGGCTGATGCCGCGCGCTTGTGTACCTTAACCCGCTGTGCAGCCCCACCCACGCACCCACCTCACGGACCACACCAATCTCCTTGCCGCCCATTGGCATGGTGAACACGGTGCCCCACTGTAGATCAATCTTGGCGCTTACATAAACTTCGTCCGGGACTTAGACTCTCAGTCTCAGACTCTCAGTACACCTCGGCGCACCATAGCTAACTGCACTTGTTGGTTCAACAGCCGCAGCCACAGTGGCACAGCTCGATGAGCCTACCGTCAGCCGGCCTAGTCGATTTCAGGAGAGTATGATAATGCGACGCTTAAGGTTTACATCAATGAATTCCTCCACTCAACAGCCAGCCATTCTCATGGTTTAAGCAGTAAATGATAATTAAGTTCAAGACATGGTCACATCACAACCAATGGCCAATCCTGACGCCCAGCTTCATGCTTCTTCTCTTTGCCGCCGGCCATAGATTGGCCGAGGCCTGCTGTTTCCCAACTTATCACAGAGCAGTGCACATATCGGTCTTCAATCCATAGATGTAGTGTACATTGTTAATACAACAAGACGAAGAGTCTACGCCCATGATGAAATCTTTAAATATCGGCGTCACCAACTGGTGACGTTGGGAGATTCGTGTCCCATATCCGTCCATTCCTCATTCAATTTACTCTGTTCTCGGATTCAAAATCAATAATTAGTGCCTTGAACGGCATTCTTTGTCTCGATACTTTTGTCTTCCACTTCAATCACCGCTGTGCCGCCAAAAGTCCGTTGAAATGGATATCGAGTTCAATCCCACAAACATGTACGCCAACAACAGCGAACTTCGCTCTGCCTATCAACGTCTCGTACGCCAATGGTCAGACCAGAATGGCCTTCTCGAGATATGTGTCTTAGCTGTTATCGTGTATGGACTCCCCCTCTCAGCATACTTTGACGGGCTGGCACATCTAATGCCTCTTCAGTAATGGTCCCCATACAAGTTATAGTGATGCTAGAAGTCACTTGACGGTGGACTTTTACACCCCAGGCGGCACTGCGGGAACATTCAGATACCATTCTAGGCGGCATGTTCCAGCAGCTTCGCCAGCTCGTAGGCAGAGACGTAGCCGACGCTGAAACATTCACGACTACTTAGGGACCTCTGTGTATGAAGGTGGTAGCTGGCTTAGGAAAGCTTTCTCTCTCATGCTATTGTAAAATAATGGACGGAGCCAATGCTTGTGAGGATTTAGACTTGTTGCACGATACAAGAAATCTACCGTGAAAGAAAAGTCGACTTCAAGTGAAGGTACCTTAGATTGTATGACTTCCAGGGGAGTGTCGATAGCAAAGCGTCATACCCTAGGTGGCCCTGAGTCTTGCGACGAAATCAGACGATAGCGAATCCTCAGCGATGTACCTTAAGGGAGGACTTGTAGTTTCAATGTCTATTTGTAAATACTTCCTTGCTATTATTTCCTTATTTCCATTTGTTCCTCTCAATCAGTATAAGTTCAATTGAAAGATTCAGCTCCTAACGGTGATGAGAACGTGCATAACGATAATACTGGTTATGGTAGGGCATGATCATTATTTTTTGATTCATTGAAGGGAATCTCTCAGAACCATTTAGTTAGAGAAGCATACGGTCTTCTGCCCTCCCCGTTACCCCAACTATATTCTGATACTTATTTCGTTTTGCATCTCATCTTACACCTTGATCTCTGCTGTGATTCGTCCCCGTAAGGTCAGAAAGCCTTCGCTAGCCAGAGAATCCGGTGAGGTGTGTTTAACGCTTCGAAGAGCAAGATGGATTCTACCATCTTATCTTAGATTCATTTGGCAAGCCTGTAACTTCATGATTTTCCATATCTTTTGGATCGCCGACTTGCTAAATTCATTTCGCAATCTCAAAATGGTTCAACATCTTTTGCATCGTTCCGGTAGTTGCTGGTAATAGCGATGAAAAGCCATGAAAGGTCACAAATCCTAAAGGAGCTCTCTGCTTGATCGCCGCTTGCCGCTTGCTCTTGAGCCAAGTGAGTTACACCTGTAATAGGTTCTGCTAGGTTAAAGGCTCACATTCTGGGCAGGCAGGTCTTGGAGCGTAAGTCAGGGTAGTTGAGGGGCGACGAGCGTCCAAACAAAGTTTTTAAACGTTCGACTTACTTCGAACTCTTTCAGGAAGGTGTGTTGAAAGTTGTTATCCTTCGTCTCCAGGGATCCAAATGTGCGGACACATTCAGTCCCCGTTTCCGTTGCAATCAAGCGCACAAATTATCTTGGCCGCTCAACTTTGTTCCTGGCAGGGATTTACCCCTCATCACCTCACCTACCACGCCATGCAGGGTCTTTACCAAATATTGCATGCTTGGCACCGCTCGGGAATAACTCTATACGACAAGACAGGCATGTCAGAACGAATCAAGGCAGGGCTCTGTGCGTTGCCATATTTGAAGGCTCGGCTTTTCGCTAAGGAACTTCTAAAGTGAATGTTGTGTAAGACTTTAGTCAGTTCAGCGGCCTGCAAGCCAGATTTAACTTCCGATGAATGACGATCAGCCATCTGTTCCTGATTTTACCAGTAAACCATCCATCTCGTCACGAATCATGTCAATAGGCGGCCGACTTCGGATCTTCGACAAGGATCCCAATTAGGCTTCGTTCCGAACCTTCCACCATGACTTCAGCAAAGAGGCCGGGACCTGCATGAGATGCCGGAGCAAAATCCTTATTGGAACGCACAGTGGTAATGTAATGCCTCTAATTTCAGTTCATAATGGTCGTTACTCCTGCGTGATGGCCCGGGTAAGAAGTCATTACCGCCATTATTCTTGGCGCGATACCCGAGGTGGAAAAGTTTCGCCTTCTACTGCGCCTGTTCCGTGATCCGTTTCAAAGAATTCGATTGGCGAAGATATGCCAAGATCCGACCACGGATGTCACCTCGGTAGAAACAAGGTGACCACCGACTATCACCGAGCAGGAAGCTAGCATCTAATCTAATCATTCCCGCCTTGCTCGATCCACTCGAATGCAACTGAGTACAGCCAAATCCCTGCATTCCACTTAATCCAGTTGAGAAGATACTCCGCGCCAGGCGGGACGAGGAGCATTGGGAATTTTAGTAGCATCCCCTACCTGAGTGTCTACGCCGTTGGCTTCCGTAGTACATAAGGTGACAAGAGCCTCCATCGTTGGTCATTCATGTTGCACTATCCCACCGGCTAAGGCTCAATGCTGCCTTGTCCCTCTCGTCAATCAAGACCTGCCCTGAGTCCTGAGTAATCGTTGTCAGACGTTACTTTTCATCATGGGAGTCAAGTCTCTCTTGGCTTTGGCCTCCTTCATCTTCTGTGGAGAAGTCCTAGGTCAGACGTCTCCAGATGACCCTGAAGCAATTCTTGGGCCCATTTCTCCAATCTCCATCGAAAGCGGCCGATACATCGTCAAGTTCTCATCCTCCGGCTCAGCTAAATTCAGAAAGCGTGACGGAGATCTTGTATGACTATCTCAGTCCCTGATTTTGTTTTACGAAAGACATTAATTTCTCTGACACAACTACAGGACACTGCCGGCTTCTTTACCACCCTCCAGAATGCCGGCAAAGATGCTTCCCCAGCAGTGAGCTTCAACTCGCAGCTGTTTCACGGAGCTTCCTTTGACTTGGGGAATGATACCTCTGAAACTGTAGCCGATATTCAAGCTCTGCCGGAAGTTGAGAAGATATGGTCTGCTGCACTTTTCTCACTTCCCATCACGACTGAAGCGGTTGTACAGACAGAGTTCCCCACTTGGAGCCCTCACAATGACACTAGCGTCGCTCTTGCACATGCCAACGGCCATTTTGGCGAAGGGGTGACCGTCGCTATTGTTGACTCCGGCATCGATTACAATCATCCCGCTCTCGGTGGCGGGTTCGGCTCTGGGTTCAAGGTTGAGAGTGGCTACGATTTTGTTGGCGACAACTACGAACCTGGAGACATCTACCTCCCAGACGAGGACCCGATTGACTGCAATGGCCATGGCACACACGTTGCTGGCATCATCGCTAGCAGTAACGAGTTTGTGCCTGGTGTTGCACCCTCGGCTCGTCTTCGTGCCTACAAAGTATTTGGGTGCGGAGGTAGCACCTACGAGGATGTAATTGTTGTGGGCTTCCTCCGAGCTCACGAGGAGGGCGCAGACATAGTCAGCGCCTCGCTTGGTTCTAACAGAGGATTTGTTGACACCCCTCTTGCGGTGGTGGCAACCGCCATTCAAGCTGCCGGCACTTTTGTCTCTATCGCCGCCGGAAACGCTGGTGAAAGTAGTGAGTTCTCCTCAATCCAGGAAAAATCATTTCTGACTGATTGGCGTCAATAGATGGCCCTTGGTATACTAGCAGCGGCGGCAATGGCATTGGTAGCACTGCCGTCGGGAGTGTAGAGCATGATGAGCTCGTTGCATGGACGGCAACCGCGCGTTCCAGTAGTGGCGAAACTCGTGATTTTGTTCGTATTTGATACCCTAGCAACTGCAGTGGTTGTATCTTCCCGATTGGTTCGCAGCTCATACATGTTTTCAGATCTACCTTGCAGACAACGGGGTCCAGTGGTCTCTTAACGGAACGGCCCCAGCTTCATGGGCCCCCAATCCTCGGGACCACGCTGATCAGTGTGGTATCGACTTCACTATTCCTGACACCAATGTTTTGGTCCTGCCGTAAGTTCAAATGACTGCCAGTTTCCCTGAATCTTTCTAACACAGGATTCCAGCCGGGCGGACTGTGGATGGCAAAGAACCGATAGTGGCTTAATGGAAAAGGTGGACTGGGTTCTGATTTACAACTATAACG